TAATTAGCATACTGTCATCATTATAGAGCAAAATGCTGTAGTCGGTGCTGAAGTGCGAACATTTTGAGAATATGAACCTCGGTGCCCGGAAATTGCACTCTCATACCTTTAAAAATCTGACCGGTAATTCATAATGAACAATAAACAAATATTCTTCCTAATAAAGTTTGAGTGGGTGCGATGCCACCGTCTGCACCCAACCCCAACCCCACCCCACCACCACATCCGCATTTATATCAATTGTATCCGCTAAGTTCGCCCAAAATCAAAATTTTATTTATTTATTTGAATCGGACGGTAGGTCCCTCGCGACGAAGCACAGTGTATACTCTGTCTCTTATACACATCTAGATGTGTATAAGAGACAGANTGATTCTAATGTTCTAATGTAATACATGAGTTACGTAATTTTTATAATACCATACAATATTTGACCTTGAATGACCTATTTGTGGCAATCTGACCAGGTAAAAAATGGTAATGGTATGGTATATACATTGAATGACCTTAAATGACCTTTTATGATCTTAATGACCATCTGACCATGTCACAAGTGTTATAAATCCTTGACCATGAAACATAATTTTAGATATCATAATTCTCATTAAAGTGGTTTAAAAACCGATATATTGATAAATATAGGATTTGCGTGCCAGCAATTTTGAAATTCAAGATGGCCGCCAAAATGACCTCGAATGAAATATTGTAGTTCATAGTAAAGATTTTGAATTCTGAGAGTCAGGGTATGGTTCTAATGTAAAATATGACAATTATGTAATTTTTAATATATACCATACCATATTTGACCTTAAATGACCTTAAATGACCTATTTGTGGCAATACCAGGTCAAAAATGGTATGGTTTTCCTTGACCATATAAAAATAGTTTCAGACAAGTGGTTTAGAAGCGAAGATATAGATAAACATAGGTTTTATTAGGCGGCCATTTTGAAATCCAAGATGACCGCCATAATGACCTCGGATGAGGTGGTTCCTACAAAAAATTGAATGCTATGACCATAAGAAGCATGTAAAACAAAATTGGTGCTTTGTCCGGAGCGATTCTGCGCTGTATTGTTGTTTTATTCTTTACTGATTCATGATTATGCTTTAATTGTTTTGTGTATTATTTGGATAATAGCAACGATTTCTACCGCCACCAAGGAGGTTATGTATTCACCGATGTCACTGTCTGGGTGTCTATTCCAGTTTGTTTTTATGTCTAGTACCGTAATCTTTGTTGAGAATTGATAATAAATAGGCGACGACTTGGTAACGAAAGTTTGGCACAAGTTTTTTTAGATCCAGCTGTAGGGGGCGTCCCGTTTTTCGTATTCCCACCATGCATTTCGGTGGAACACGGTGGAACACTTTTTTTGTGTAGAGAACTCTATCTTGTATTTCTAGTATCTTTGGCTAAATGTAAATACGCACACGTATACTGATCATATCACTATAGCAACCGATAGCTGCTACAACAAGTTGGTTATAAAAAACTAAAATTAAAAGACGGCGATTGACTTATAAAGCAATTAGTAGAGCATGCAACGGAAAATTATTATACTTTAGGTTAGATTTAATGCATTCAAAAATTTCCTTCGGGCCTTGAAGGCCCTCAGGAAATTTTTTCAAGCATTAAATCTAACCTGATGATGACATAATTAATGTCGAAATATTGAATCCCAACACGATGGCGTGTATTTCAATACTTGGAGTATGTATTATACTTTCTTATCTGAGATTAATCAGTGGACCTTTCGGAAATCTAACCTTCGTACAATAATTTTCCTATAGTGTACTATGCGGAGCTCTACTAATTGCTTACATACAGGAACGCACATCATGTTAGCAAAGATATTAGAAATACAAGATAGAGTTCTCGCATTGTAAAAATGAGGCGGAAGTCGTGCCCAACGTAGGCGGCGCCCTTCTTTTTAACCATGCAAGTTTCCTATACTTCGTGCCCAACGTACAGGGCGCCCTTCTGTTGCTAAGTATATCCAGACGCAAAAGGCGCCCTTCATTTTCCACTAATGGAGGAAAACTTTTTCACTAAGAGTGCGTCCGGCCATGCGATTTTGCGCTGTATTTTTGTTTTATTCTTTACTGATTCATGATTATGCTTTAATTGTTTTGTGTATTATTTGGATAATAGCAACGATTTCTACCGCCACCAAGGAGGTTATGTATTCACCGATGTCACTGTCTGGGTGTCTATTTCAGTTTGTTTTTATATCTAGTATCTTTGTTGAGAATTGATAATAAATTACGCGACGACTTGGTAACGAAAGTTTGGCACAATTTTTTTTAGATCCAGCTGTATGGGGCGTCCCATTTTTCGTATTCCCACCGTGCATTTCGGTGGAATACGGTGGAACACTTTTTTTGTGTGGAGAACTCTATCTTGTATTTCTAGTATCTTTGATGTTAGACACAGAACGCGCATCGCGTATGACACAAAATGGCTTCTAAATTCTCAATGTCGCAACTCTTTCTATCTATGGCTCTGGCCGTGTGCACAAAAGGGCGCCATACGTCTGGCCAAGCATAGAAAACTTGCATTATAGAAACAGAAGGGCGCCGCGTACGTCTGGACCAATTTTTGCATCATTTTTCAATTTACCTGTGTTAACGCAGATTTCACAGTCATGTCGTCACGACGCCAGGGCCCAGGTGACACTCTGTTGTAAACAGACGTTGGTTACCGTTCATTACGCCTGAATGACTTCATAGGCTTTCTGGAATAGGCATTTCAAAATCTAACATTTTACCATCAAAATGTACTAAAAACACAAAAGCTTGCATTATATTAGTTATCGAACACACATTTAATCATCAATTTAAAATTTACAAAAAAAAAGTAAGATACAACATCTTAATAATTATGTTAGAAATTGGGATCAATGGTTTGTCAGTGTTGAAAATTGCGTCCGGTTGAACTCTTTTTGCAACAAGCAACGGAGTAGTATCCGTAACACTGTAGTACTCGATAGTTGTGCCCGAGGGCATTTATTCGAATAAATACTGTATATAAATACTACACAAATACTGTAATATAAATACTACACAATTAATACAATTCATGGGTTATTCCATGCCAACTCAACAAATTTTCAGAAAATCATAACTGGGTACCGTCTCAGATTTTCTTGAAACTGGGATATAATGTGCACCAACATGTCTGACGAACAAACCCAAAATTTTACTTGCCAATTCCAAGTCGTTTAGAAATTACGGCCATTTGAAATTTTACAGTCATACCCCTTTTTATCTGTCAATTATGACATATTTTTAAAGTTGCATTTTCAATAAGCCACATCTTCAAATAGAATAACTTGAAAATTGATATCTAGACTAACTTTTGGCTGTACAACAGGAATATGACATAACTTGTGGTATACCCTAACCCCGTTTATGAAAATATTGGTTCGTAAAGACCCTACCTTATTTGGTTGCTTAATTTTCTTTTTTATTGTTACAACCCATTAAAATACCAAAATCAAATTATTAATATATAGCTGGAAATGTCTCACTACAGAAAATTCCAGATTTCTACACTTATCGTTAAGGGGGTAATATCGTAGGTCAAAAGGTCATTCGAGACAAAAAAATACGCAAAAATACCTCGTTTTTATTGTGAACTTTGAACCTGTCGGCAAGTACCCTTGTCGTTAAAACTCGCACCATGAATTAATTTTTATAAGATGATCATATGTTCCAAATATCAATTTGATGTCTTTATCCTTTCATGTTTTAAAAAGCGACTTGAAAAGGGGTATATTTTTCAATTTGTGACAATATCAGTGCGTAAATGTGACAAAATTAATTTAATCGATTAAATTAAAAATATGGATGGCCCAAATGCAAGTTCTGCAATAAAATCCTGTTACTATTTCAAATGAAGATAATATTATCCGTGTACTGCCTAGACAGCCATGAATCTTTTTTTGAAACTTGTTTGTACTGATTTTAGTTACCGGTATGCATTCTTTAATTAGTAAGATATTTTGCCTCAAAATGGCCCAAGTGCAAACAAATCTGCAATAACATTGTGCGACTATTATATATTGATATTTTTCAAATGAGCTTAACAATAACAGTGTACTGTTCAGAACCATGAAACCTTATATTCTAGTACACATTTGTATGCTTATTTAATTTATTCACTCAATTAAGGGACCCAGTCTTTAGTTATTATAAGATATTTTGCCCTAAAAATAACTCAAGTGCAAGAATTGCATATATTTTAAATAATATATGAGCACAATATTATCATCAGTGTACTATTGCCTAGAGCCATGAAACTTTTAATTTTAGGAAAATCTTTTGAGCTTAATTTAGTAACGTAGTCTGGTAAGGGACAGTCTTTAATTAGTAAGATATTGTGCCGACCCTAGAATTGTGAAATAACAGTGCTTTTTCACCATTCTCGCACATGAGCAACTTTGGGTGCCCAATATCTTACTAATTAAACATTGTGTCTCTTACCAGACTGCATGACTAAAATAATCACAAAAAGTTGTCCTTGAAGCAAAGCTTGAAGTAAAAGTTAAAGTTTTAAAGGCAAATGGGAAAAACCCATAAAACAGCAAACGGCCATATAATGCAAAACAATTTAAAATTAAAATTAAAACGGAACAGTAGAGAAAATCCGATCAGAATGACAAAATAAACTAAGCATCCACT